CCGACAGAGCACCCGCCGGAGGGTGACTTGGCGCCCACTAGCCTCGAACCAGCTATGGATGCAAATCGATCACGTTGCTATCAGTTACCGCTAGAAAGGCTGCATCCAGAACTGTCGCTCGATTTGGAGCACATGTGTGGACACCGACCATGCACTTGTATGCGCTGACCTGCGGATGCGTTTTCGCGGACTCCCACGACGACGCTGTGAGCGCATTGACAACAGCTAACTGACAAAGCCAGCTGTTCTGAATGCCTATCAAAACAGCCTGACGTGCGAGTTGAGTAGGCGTTCACTGGATACAATTGAAGCTCACTGGTCTCATATTCACCAGCCTTTACTAGCAGCAGACAAATCCTCATGTGGTAAGTCTAATCACCAACATGGGCGTTGGGTCTCTTCACAGTTTTGGGAAATTATAGATGCTCGCTGGCACATTCCGGCTGGAAGCGAACACAGTGTGACCCGTAGAAAACTCCGGGCAAAACTACGTGTTAGCCTAAAGAGAGACCGCGAATCCTGGTGGTCTCATTGTGCATCAGAGATGGAAATGGTCGCTCCCCTTGGTAACAATTTTAAGTTATTCTTGCTGATACGGGAAACGGGCAGCAGGAGACCTGGTGTTAGTGAAACTATACGTGACGAGAGTGGACAGCCTATCCACAACTTATCAAAACGCCTGGAATGTTGGGCTGAGCACTTTGAAAGGCAAATTAATCGGTCGGAATTGTTAGATTTCTCGCCGACCAGTGATCGCCCCGCTCCCTGGGCTGTCCCATTGGATCCACCCTCTCGCTCAGAAGTCGAACGTGAGTTTGCATTGTTGAAGTTGAATAAAGCCGCGGGACCTGATGACCTACCTGCAGCCCTCTTCAAATTCGGGGACATGCTCTTGTGGATGATTTACACGAGTTACTAGTGAAGCTATGGAAGTAGGAAACTGTCCTAACCGACTGGAGCCGCTCCGTCATAGTCCCAATTTGCAATGGAGACTCGCCTTTGGAACGCCGCAACCATAGAGCAATCAATCTGATCCCCATCGCCTCCAAATTGCTTGCCTCTGTCATCCTTGAAATACTGTTTGACACTCGTGGAAGCCAAATTCGTGAAGGGCAAGACGGATTTCGTCGAGGCCGTGGCTACATTGACCACATCTTCACCTTGCGTCAGTTATTGGAGCACCGTCATATATATTGGCGGCCCACCGTTGTCGTGTTTCTCGATATCAAAGGTGCATTCGATTCGGTGGATAGACTTGCACTTTGGGACTGTCTACTCAGAAAAGGGGTACCTGAGAAATATGTAAATATTATCTGATCATTATATGCGCGTAGCTCAAGCAGAGTGAGGACTTACGGCCAGCTGTCGTTGACTTTCAATATCTCCAGCAGTGTGAGACAAGGATGCGCGCTGTCACCTTTCCTATTCAACTTCGCTATTGACGAAGTTATGGAAATCGCGTTCACAGGACACGACTTAGGTGTGGAGCTACTCCCAGGAGAACGACTTCTTGACTTGGAGTATGCATACGATATTGCCCTCATCTGTGACAGCTCCCAGACTTGCCAAGTGCCCCTGGACAGGTTAGCACTGACTGTCAACCCTTTCAGGCTATGTTTTGCACCCTCAAAGTGCAAAGCTCTCCCAGATTTACCTGGACCGCCTCCTTCGCTGACCCTTAGTGGGGATCAGCTAGAAGTCGTTCAGAGATTCAACTACCTGGAAAGTTGTACCAGTGCCCGTGGGATTGAAGATGAGATCACCAACCGTATAGCAAAGACTCTAGGTGCTTTTGATAGCTTTCGGCACCTACGGCGCCGGCGCGACATCACTCTCGCCCTGAAGGATAGGATATACAATGCAGCGGTATGTTCGACCCTACTGTACGGTTGCGAAACCTGGCCCCTTAGACCAGCGGACATAAAGAGGCTAGTTACGTTCGACCACCGGTGCCTTCGCAATTTAGCTCACATCTGGTGGGAACACCGCGTGAGCAACGAGCATGTTCGACACCTTGTTTATGGCACAGGAAAGGGAACTGAACCGCTCAGCACCGTTATTTCACGCACCAGGCTCCGATGGCTCGGCCACGTGTGGTGCGTGCCAGCCAACCAACTGCTGCGACGTGCGTTACTTGCACGCCGGGGGTGTGGATGGAAGAAGAGGAGGGGTGGCCAAGCGATGGCTTGCTCGAGAGGAATGAAGGCCCTCACTTCGGAGCTGGCCTCGGTTGAAGCGTCACGGCTCCTCTGTTGGGGTCCGAAAGACAATGACCACGTTTGGGTGGATATACTTGCTGACATTACTATGAGCCGACCGCAGTGGCGTTCGTGCTGTGAGTTTCCTTGTCCCTCCCCATCCCTCTTACCCTCCTTCTCCAACCACTACTTAGCCCAATATAATATAATTTTGCATAGTAATTTTTTTGCTGCGTAGTTGCCGGCTGGTACCTTACCGGAAGCATGACAATCCGTTACCGGTTGATCAGCTCGCTTGCATCTGTTGCGTATTCCCCCTTTTTCTTTTATGTATTTCGGCACGATGGCTGAGGTGTTTCCCATTTCTAGCTAACGTGTACAATGATAATGATCTTTGTCCCACACGGTGCTTTACGCGATTTTTGTACGCTATTTTATATGCGACAGTTTTCTGTTCCTGTGCTTTTCGTTTTCTTTTTTGTTTCGGCGATTTTTTCCTCTGTGTGGCAGTCGGTTTGTCTTACCATGATGTTTGAATAATATGGTTGTCATTTCATTTGCGTCTTTTAAATTTGTAACAAAATTATCATTTTCTTTTTCTCTAACCAATCAGAACGAAACAAATTTCAGATAATTTATCATGGTCCACTTTCATTCAGCAGGCTTTGGCAAATCTAGGAGTATAAAAATCTATCCGTATAGCTTCTAAGTCCTATGTCTTACATTGGTGCTGTGCGGAAAGTCCTAGCTCGTGGGGCTAACTGCTGTCCCCTGCGCAGTTCGTAACTGGCATGGCAGTGGAAGATGAGCCGCGCTATATCATAGTCAGCTGTCAATCACTGAGGTCGGCGGCTGTCACCCATGGCGAAGTGGCACTAGCTGCTAGCATCCTGAAGTCATGGGGTCGGAACCGATCAGTGGTCCGATGGAAGACGCACCACTGACTAGACTCAGAAGATCGAAACACCGGTGTCTGGTACTTTTCTAGACTTGCTGTAGCCTGCTGACTGAGAGTGGATCATGATGAATTATATGAATTAAACCAAAATCCCCACTACTCATTAGCAAGACGAATTTAATGACACCCTAAGTTCACATTTGGGACGGAATGGTGGCTGACAGCATCCATCCTTGGATTTGCTTTACACCGGCTCCTGCTAAAATACTTTTAACATACAGGCTGGCGCGCGAAATGGCACACCTTTTGTTTTGTGTATTACACATGTAATACTTTAAATGTAATGTTTAAAACTCGTATTCCTATACTGTGGGTTATGGAATAACCGGTGGATGTTAAAAGAAGTTTGTATGGAATATTTCCTTGGTGCTAAACATGATTTTCAAGATGGAGCATAAGAACACATTTAGTGTTGAACAGAAGGGGAAGGTTGTAATGTTTTTTCACAGAAACGAAGCGTTTTGTGGCAACACGAAGACGTTTTCATGCACAATTTCGTACAAAATGGGCTCCATGTAAGTGGACTGTTCAGAGCTTGTATCGTCACTTTGAAACAACTGCATCTGTGATGGAGAAGAATCGACGGCGCAGACCAAATGTCCGCACCCCTGAAAACATGGCAACAGTTCGCGTTGCTTTGACGCGAACTTCTAGCAAATCAACAAGGAGGACGGCTGCTGAGTTAGGAATATCTTGTCGGTCCATATAAATGATTCTACATTCTGATCTTCAAATGTTCCCATGTCCATAAATTAACCGCAGAGGACAAACAATGATGATATCAGTTCGACTCATGGTTAGGTCAAGAGGGCCACTTTCTGTACAACACGTGGTTTACTGGCGAGGCGTTTTTTAATTTAAATGGTATAGTGAATGAGCAAAATGTTCGTTTTTGGATAAGTGAACCTCCTGAAGTTCTGCACAAAAGGGAAAGTTGTGGAGAAAAGGTCAGTGTATAGGCAACAATTTAATCCCATGGAATCATCGGACCCTTTTCTTTTGATGAGACGGCAAACATGAGGACATATAAGGACATGTTGGAAAGCAGACTTATTCCAGAATTTGACAACTGGTCTCCTATTACAAACTTCATGCAAGACGGAGCCCGTCCACACACTGCAAATGTTGTTGATTACCTGTTTGACATGTTTGGTGGGCGGCTAATGTCACATCGGTTTCTTGAGCGGCACTAAGATGTGAGACAGTGGCCCCCGCATAGCCCTGACAGCAATCCATGGGATTTCTTTTTGTGGGGCTATTTGAAAAATAATGTCTTCGCAGAGAAGCCTACAAGTGTAGTTTGACTGACACACAACGAACATGCGGATTGATTGACGTACACTCTTTAGCTCCGCATGCAAAAAAGAAGACAGACTTTTGTAGAATACTCGTTTTGATTAGGAAAACATGATACAGACCAGGAACCCGCTTTGATTGTAGAGTGCGCGACTCATTACGTCGAACTGTGAGATTCAGAAGGAACATCTTCACTTCAGTAATCGCTGCGTTCGCCCCGAAGCTACCGCGTTGGGGGCAGGATATTCGTCCCGCGCCGCGTGGTCTGGTGACGCGGACGGTCGTGTGTGAATTTTGCGGGGTCCCTTGGCGCTTCTGCAACACTGTACAAGCTACGCCGGCTACTAGTATTTCAAGTGATATTTGATATCTTGTTCTTTCGAAATATTTATGTATCATTAAACTTTAGTCTCAACAAGTTTCCATTCCTTCACGGTGACATATGCAATGAATAAGTCCACATTTTAACATTTACTCCGATGAACGATGCGCTGAACACCGTCACTATTTCATTTCAAGCCTTAGACACATAGTGCTTTTTTCCGTAGGTTTTATGACTTGGCATTGGAATCGGACCGCACTGACGAGCGCGATTTGTGGTCTCACCTGACCTTAAAAGAGCAGCGGGATTTTCGCCGTCTCTTGAATTCTTCTCATATCTCACACTATGTGCCTGTGTGGGTGCCATGGTGGTCTGAGTCAAAGAAGGTTCAAATACAGGAGTGTTGCTCTTCTGATAGCGGCGCCAATTACGGACCACCAGCTGTCAAACTCAGGAGTTTGCTTCCATCCGGAAGGCTTCCTCATCCTTCCGTCGGTTTTGTGCTTGCGGACGTCTTACTTGGGCTGATATTTCTATCCAGGTTAGTCTATCTTAATTTCCGGTTTCAGCATTTGGCGCTCGATTAGTTTTTTGTCTTATTCCAAGCTGCTTTTTTCGCAATTATACTTATGCTACAGCTGTTCTTCACAATTGAAGTAGTCGTCGATTTCACGATGGTATGTATTTTGTGCGCACAACGTCCGTTCTATCCCATGTTCCTCCACAGCCACAACAGCTTTCCTTTCGCAGCCTTTCAAATCCCAGAGTATTATAGCTCGGCGAAGCAAATTCATACGCATTCATCCTTGGGATGCAGTGGCTCGAAAGGCATACGTACACTTTATGGATGGATGTAGTCCTATCAACTTTTAATGATAGCCCCTTAGGCCGAACAGTTCAGACCTTTGTAGTATTATGTGTGCGTCATCCGTGCATACGAAGCGCCCGTGATGTACATCCAAGATGCGAATTGATCAAGCTACTCAGTTGGACTGTGTCTCGCACCATCGAGGAATAAACTGTATCTTTATTTATATGTATCAGGGCACTTGACTGCGAACTCGTTGGTTGAAACTGGTGATGATGTCTGAGTGCGAGAGTGGGGTGTTGTGGGGATCAATTGGGGTTAAGGTAACCTCTAGTTTCCAAATGCTCCGCTCTAACCTTAGCAATCTTGTCGCTTTGCGTCGTCGTGTCATGAATTCTTGGGCAATTTTTTATTTGCGGTGCCTGGTTTTTTATTGGCCCCAAACAAGTTCACAGTTTTCGGTGTTCTCCTATTCCCTGTTAAAATTTCTGCTTACTCTCACTCCAGCAAGTAGACTACATTAAGCATTCCCGTATATCGTTCGTTATCTCAAAAATTGAAAACACTTCTTGCAACTGGATTCTTTAGAATGCTTCTTTTACTAGAAAGCACCTGCGATGCTTTCTTTTGCGTTTCAGAACATTCACATTGAGGATTTCACGAGTTCACGCATCGTTGGTTTTTTTACCCCTTGTTTCAACCCAGCAAGCCATAATGTTTCAAGTTGTATATGCATTCTATTCTTTTGCTTGATGTGGCCATATTGTTTGTAGGCTTTTCGTTGTGTCGGACGCTGCTAGAGGGAGCAGTCAAATCCCCATTTAGGGCGAGTACGCGACAAAACTGGAGCGTATTCGAGACTAAAGCGTGAACTGGGTGTGAATTAACTTACGCTGAAACAATCTGCACTGATTGTATCTCGATCGATCATGGGTGCTGATTTCTAATAATCACTAGTCCGTTGACCGATGATTTTCCGGGGTGTCTCAATATAATTGTTGGGAGTCGGTCGGTTTTGACCTTGGCTTCTGCTTGTTGTGGCCTTCTGAATGTATGGTTGATCAACCACGATTTGCGGGCTTCAGTGTTTGGCGCTCGAGAAACCGTACCCTCCCAGCACTTTTGTTGGCGGTCGTTTTCAAAGAGAAACCTAATTATTCTAGGTTATCTCTGGGTTCCTATACAGTTCGAGTCTGACGAGCGAAATTGTAATTTTGTCTCTGTTACCAAGGGATCATATTGCTTTACCTACTAGGTAGATCGCTTGCCTCAGAAACTTATAGCTAATCTACCACACAAGATTACAGTCTAATGAGCTAACTTCACTTAAGACTGGCACCCTTTGAGGGGTAGCCGAGCCTCAAGTAATGGTACAAAGTTTTCCGCCTGGATGCTGCTCTATCAATAATCATCCCACTCCTGTAGCATGTGCTTATGTTGATAAATTCTTGTGATACGTTTGGTTGGTTGTGGCGTCGAAAATTACACATAATTCTAATATTCGTTACTGTGTGGTTTATCACGGCTAGTCCGCTCAGTGCTGCGGTAATTTACTCCGACCATAATCAGTATGCGGCTGTTAGTTACTGGTGACGAAATTCTTCTGCACCCTTGAGTTTACATTCGTATTGCCACGACGTAGTAATCTTTAGGCCTGTACTATTAAATACTCATCATATAATGAGTGGATTTTGAAGTGGCAGCTCGCTTAGAACATTGCATTCAATTTCGATTCCATTCCACACCACACACTTTGTCCTAAGCAATCCAGCCCCGCCCCGTACACATGCAGCGGTTGTAAGTTACCTTACAACTAGCATTGTTTGCATTTCTGGGAGCTAAATCATCTCAACTTAGTCTATTCGCGGAACTCACCTACATCTGGTCCACAGCCCAGCGGGGCGATATTCACATGAAGGTTACACGGGTTGGGCTACAATTTCCGCCGGAGGCCTCAACTACACCATCACAGCAGATGTCAGCTGTCGATGCAAACGCCATCAGCTTTAAACCTGTCCATTTTTCACACAGACTTCTGCGCGACCTAGTAACAAATGTTCCATCTGAACAAGATTGAGTTCTCAGGGTAGTTTTCACCTTACGCTTTTCGACCAATGCGGTGGCTTACTGAAAGCACTCCCATTCTGTCGCGTCAAGCTTTTTCGCCTTGACATGTATGTTATGGGCTAACTGTCTGCAGCATTGTGCATCATTTGGAATTGGGCTTATGATCTGCCTCTTCGCTCCCATATATTATTGCTTTTTACTGATGTTTTATTTTCTCCCGCGGGTTATTCCATTCATGTTATATCCACTAAAATCTATTTAACCCCGTTTGGAAGAAAACCCACTTCCCAAGCGCTGGCGCATTTGAAAGCAGAAGTCATCAACCTTGAAAATCACTTGGCTGAAGAACGACTGTGCAGACACGGCACGATTACGCCGAAACCTTGATTGTCCGGTCGGAGACCGCCGTTTCAAACAACAGCTAAACGGCCACCAAAGTTAATAATCGACTTCGAGTTCTGCTAGTTTTCAAGTCGGTCTAGGCGTCACGGCGTTTTGATGTGATTTGTTCATCCAACTCGTTTTCTTGCCTAAATGCTGGTTTTCCAAGGTAACTTCGCTTTTTCCTGACAGTTCTCTTGAGGTGGCTTATTCAATATAAATAGGGCAACTTGGACTGATTTTTAATCATCAAGCGAGCGTTTGTTTTCTGCGTATTCAACAATTCCACTGAGTATTCTCTGCATAATTCAGAAATTCAAAGTCAACAAGGATGTCAAATGGATACCTGGTTGTTTCCTTCATACGGGTCTCACCATGCTGACCGTAGTTGATTAGTAAGCCGTACTGAGGTTTGGTTTGCGATGACTGACATTATCCACGTGGTATGTATAGTTCGACAGCCATGTAGCCGGTTGAGGTCCCGTCCTACCCTGAGATTTCTCTTACCACCTAGTCTCGAAAACTATCCGAATGACATCGGGCGGCTTCTGTAGCTTCGTGTTCACCAAAAATTCCACCGGTCCCTGGGGACGTAGTGCAGCTCGACAAAGAGAAAGCATTTTGTCAATCTCTTTATTTTAAAGTTTTCCAATATTTACGCAAATCTCCCTTGTTGTTTATTTAATAATGAGTTCAAAGATTGCTCTGGTGCACAGCTTGTAGGGATGACCGAATTTGGCCGTCGTTTAACTTGCATCACTTTTGTGTGTGCGGCATTTGCTGTGATCTTGGTAAAATGATGCTGGGCATTGTGTTAGGAAACACTTCGGAATGCCTGGAAATATTTACTATGCGACTCGGGTACAACCAGGGTTTTCTGTGTTGGATGTGACCTGCAAAATCGTGACCATGGTTTCGTTGGCGTAAAGGCCGTTTCAAAGCAGTTGCACAACTTTAACGACGTTTGGCCAGTTCTTCGAGTAATGTGCCTATGGACATGTACGCGTACAGTCATTTTGAAACCGGGCAGCCACGCATGTAATCAACACGACACTTTACCTAGCAATGCTGTTGCATCGACAACTCCTCGGAATCCGCATGCGTTCGTTAACCATGAAGAGTGCACACCTTCTATGCCGTTCAACCGATGTATACATGCGTGGCCAACTGGCACAATGGAAACGAGTAACTCTATACGGGGATAGATTTCGTATTGCCGCACGGCGCGCTTCATCCGTAATAGACATTTCCTGCACTTTTCCACTTCGATATAAGGTTGTATTCTTGGTTGCGGCTATGAGTGTGCTCTCCTGGCATTGTTATTGGGTACTAATGAGGTACACGAATCTTCCAACTTGATTTATCGATATAGCCGATTTGTGCTATATTTTAAAATTACGGCCTGGCCTACTGCGGGCCCATAGCTTAACGCACTTCGTTGTGTAAGGTGATATGCCCTTTTGATAGTCTGTAGTTACGAACATCATGGTTCTTTACTGCAATTGGGTTACACCGACTTACATTTAAAGCAGATTTTCGTATCCTGGATGAAAAGTATTTCATTTCATTTGCTTTGCTCAGTTCTGTTAATCTGCTGCATATTTCATGTCTAGTTTCCTTCAAATTCTTGTTTGATATCATCGGTCTGGCTACTCTTGATGCGTATGTTGACAAGGTGCTTACCTGTCGAATCACCACTACCTCGGTTATACTGGCCATAGCTGACACTTTGTTGTTGTTTGGGGAGACGGCGCGCGGTTCTTGTGACTGTGTTAGACTCAAAGAGTGGTCCCATTTGGTGTGGAGAGGACTACGGCCCAGCCACCGCCTTGTAATTCTGGTACGCATGACTTCCCAGTTAGACAGGAATACTGCTACTGTACATGTTGAGTGTGGGCCGTCTCCGTTGATGAAACCTGGCTCCCATCCACATGTCTCCCGGTCTTATTCCTTCAGGTTTACTCTGTATATGGGGTGTATGGATGGAGCTGTTGGTGGTGCAACGCAAGCCACCTATGGTCCCTATGTAAGCGCAGGCGTCCTGGGGCTATCCGCATGGAGGCCACAGTGACAGGCAAATTCGGAACCGGATGCAGCCAATTACTTCTACTCCATATAGCATCTTTTGAGATTTCTACACTCTAAACATAGTGACCAATGCTTCTCAACCTACACATATTTTCTTTCCACTTTAGTCGACGCCTTTGCTGCGTGCGAAATCTTTTTTGGGTACGTACAGGATGTAACTTTCCCGTACGGGTAAAATTGGTTTTTGAAGCAATGGATTAGTAATTTCTCGACTTTTTAAAAACCTTTCCGTAATCCGGTTCATACAGCCACAACCGTGCTTTTTGGTGAATAGCTTGTTTGAAGTCCGCTTTTTCCGCTTGTTTTTCTACAAAGTAATCTTTTTTCTAGGTTGCGAACATATTGACCGTGATAGCTAACCACTGGCGGTTCTGTGCACCGGCCGGGTGCTATTCTACGGTGGTATAAATTATAGCTCTTTTTACTGTGCTTACTTTATCTCCCACTAGGTTTTTAGCTCACCTAAATGGTATTTTATGCAGTCTTTCCTTCCTTTATTTCGCTAGGTATTACAATGGGGATTACAATGACTTGTCCCTAGAAGCCGCTGAGAATTTATGCAATATTGTGGCTTCTTTTGGACAGCCGGTCAACCGCAAGTCTACTCCTCACAGAAAGAAGAACCGTACGATTGTTTTGACTCCTGTCAATTTCAAATCTGGCCCCGCATATAGTAATATTTCTGAAGTTGCCGCTTCCGTGCAAAACCGGTTGTGTGAACGAAAATTACCATGCAGCCAATATATGATGATAGGTTTCCTGGAGGATTTGCGAGCAATACTATCCTCCGAACAGCATGTGAACAGGGCTTTGTGTGAACTCCGTTTGTTTATCGACACCGTTTCAGCACTACCGCTAGAGCATTGTGAGGAGAAAGTTAAAAGGCCGCTTCAGAATGTGTACAGGAAGCTTGTATTTCTTCAGTCTTGCTTCAATTCGGATGATCCGTCTACTACACAATGGCGAAACTCGATTTATCTAGGTCTTAGGAAACAAGTTTCCGATGAACTCTGCATTCGAGTGACGAACTCCGACTGCGAAGGGGTAAAGACGCAGCAGCAGCGACCAATAGCTGGACCCAATTGGCAAAACATGATTCGAGATATTTCATACCACACTCAACAGTCCTGTGTGCCTCCAAGACTGCCTATTGAGCTCTGTGCTGGTACGGATAAATGATCTTTATGCATTTTATCTTTTCTTTTTTCAACCTAATGGCCTTCTCTTCTTCGTGACATTCAACGGGCGACGTGTCGGTTTCGTGTAGAAACAAGGCATTTAGCTGGTTGCTAAACCGCCTTGGAACCTTTCCTTTCTTCAATCATCTCATTAGCAGTCCTTTGATTTACTGAGCGCTTCGTCATACTAGCGTCACACATTCCGACTACATGTGAGATCGATATGAAAACTCGAGTCCCCGTTTTCAGTCCATCTCTTTTGCCTTTTTGGTCGGCTTCCATCCCTTTCGGCCATCCTCAAAGTTTATACGGCCCTTGTTCCGCCCATCATATCCTGCCCTTTCGATTATCTACTCACCCGTTGATTTTCACTGTTCAACTTGTACTGTCATGTGCGAAAACAGGCGTCTGTTCCCGTTAATTCGCTTTTTTAAACATCATCCGTTATTTCGCTTGTTTTCTTAATGTCCGCTTCCATCCCTCAACCCTTTCCCATATTCTTCCCTGATTCCAATAAATCCGCCAAACACATTGGAGGTGCATCACTTCTAGCGTATCTGTTTCGTCGGAAGAGAAACAAGCAATCGAAGGTCTAACCCTTGAATGTTCGCAAATACGAAATTCGTCAAGAATTTCGTCTAAGATTGATAATAATGATATTGTGTATATTTCTCATGATCCGAAAACCTTCCGTAGTAGCGCAGATCAGTATGTACATGGAACTTATGCATATGTGCAATATTGAAGCGTGCGATTCATGTAGTGGCATTTTAGTGGGTGATTGCGGTGGTAGCCAAGATTTGGATATATATGTTTAAACGTTTGTTGAGCCCATCTTGGAATGGTCCACCGAGGGATCTACCCCATGTGAATACAGTCATCATTGTATTCACTACGTGTTACCACGTTGTCACATAACTTGAGTGTGATTGTCATTTTATACCACAGATAGGTATGTCTTACCAGGAAGAAATTTGAGCGAATGCTTGCTATAGCCTTTGGTATAATCAGCATATAATTTTTGTTGTGCAGCTCTCCAGTAGTGCTTTGCTGCACTTCAAGCGTAGGCAGATCGGAACGCGTTTTCTTGTGCAGCAGCTTGTAAAGTGGCAACGAATTCTGCTTCCGTCGTCACACCAAAATCTGTTCAAGTTGAAGTTTGTTGCAACGTTGTTGGTAATTCATAGCAGAATGCTTACCAATCAGGTGTTCCAAAGCAATTATTACATATATTATTACATTATATATATAATGCCACAAAGCTCGTGAATGGAGCGGGTGTGTAGCTTTAAAAAGATCGTTTGGAACCATTTGTTGTTAGGCCTGTTTGGAAGAAGTTGAATGTTAATCAGTACCTAATTCCGGGATCGCAAATGGACAGCTGTATTGGGACTTGTTCGTTGTTCAGTACAACAAATCCATCGGGGATTTGATGCTTAAATTTTTAGCCGACAGATTCATCATCCACGTGTGCCACTATGTCTCAAGGAATATAAGTCATCTTGAATGTGCAAAAGCGTTCCGTGAGGTTCATCACGTCGAACCTTATGGGCGATCTTGATTTCGTCTGCGAATAAACATGGCCGACCATGTTTTATGGACCTGGTGATGCCATTGATTTAGAGCGGGAACAGTGAAGGACCGAGCACGCTCCATTGGATGGCGGTATTAGTGATAAGGTATGTAGAAGAGCAATAGTCACTAAAAAGGTCTACCTGGTGGCAGCCACTCAGGTAAGACGATAGCCAACCTAGTACCAGATCTCGGATTCTAAACGCCTCTAATTTTTTAACAATAGCTTTTTTAAACTTGCGGATAGTTTCTGGCTAACTGATTGTTCGATGGCATCTTTGGAGACTCGGGTACTGCGATCACACTTTGGGGCAAGACGGGCTACGGCGCGATTGATCTGATCACAAAGCTGCTCCACAGCAGTTGTAGAGAAGAAGAAGAAGAATATCTCTCCCAGGCGGGATAGCGGATTATCTGCCGAGAGTAGTCCTAGTTTATTTTGTGGACTGCACGCGGCGGTGTAGAAGTGAGTTTAGTGATCATTTTAATGTGGTAACTGAGTCATGTCATCTTATGGTCACTGCCAGGGAGACTGTCCAAGATCTCGGGCTATACGTTGGGGATCCCCAGTTTGCAATTAAGTCCAATACATTGACTGATTTGGTTGGACTGGTAATCCATTGTGTCCAGCCCCCGGTCTAATGGAAGAAAGAAAAATTGTTGGGATGACCAGCTGATTTTTAGTAAGTTGAAATCACCGGCAATTATCTTCTGACTGTGTGGCAACCTCGATGCAAAGGCAGAAGTGATGTCGGCAATACTCACCTTAGACGCATTCGGCGGGTTGTAGATACAAGCGAGCAGTGTGCACGAGGAGGCACCTGCAACTGACAGCCAAGTGGTTCATGGACATTTGCCAGTTGTGAGTAGGTGCAAATATTCTGTGTACGTATGTAATACATCCTCCGCTTTTTCTAGTGCAGCGATCTTTTCGAAATAGGTGATAGTTTGGAATCATCAAAGTAAAGTTTACCAGAGGAACACCATGTTTCAGTGACGAGGATAAGTCCAAATTCCAACACCTATCTGGCATCCTGTATATATTTCTGATGTATCCTTCACTTTGGCCGAATCTCTTCGTGAAACAACGATCATAGTCTTCTGGGGGTTGATTAGACAAATGAAGTCCAACACAGCGGACGATATAGAAGCAAATGTTGGTAGCTCAGGTTGTGCAGTTGGTGGTCTGAGTGTTCGCTGAGCTCGGCAGCTTGGCTGCAAACGTTTCGTCACCATCCGTGATGACATCGTCAGTGCGCGTTTATTTACCAGAGCGGCACGGTTCGAAGCGTCACTCACACTCACTGACGCTTCGTACCGCGCCGCTCTGCTAAATAAACCCGCACTGACGATGTCACCTCGGGTGCTGACGAAACGTTTACAGCCAAACTGCCGAGCTCAGCAAACACAGACCACCAATAGCGGACAATAATTGTGAGGGGCTGCAACAAGACGTGGATGGATGAAACGAACGGGAGTGAACATAAGCGCAGTAACTCGCCGAACACTGTAAATAATCGGAACAACAAGTTGCTTCATGAAACTGTCTACCACAGGGGTCGCTCTTGGGAAATGACTTGATTGACGTGGACACTGAAATTGTGACAACCGTAATCTGAAACGGGATAGGCGTTTGGTTCTGGAATGCTATGTGGCTGAAACGTGGGGCGGTTACCTACATCATCGCACTAAGTATTCCAAGATGATGAAGGCGATATGGTTTCCTCCTTGAAGGCTGCTCCTGGGAAGTCGACGTTGACAACTTTGTGTCGATCATGTATAACTTATGTATACTTAATTACGGTGACTGTAGTCTCTCGAACACCGTCAACGCGAAGCAGTACGTGTGATTAAGTGCACAGTTTCCCGGGTACATACACCGATTGTGGCAGTATTTAGTCTTTTGAGCGAAGATGATCAATCGGTATTAAGCAAGCAGGATGGCATTCAGTCGCTGTCGACGCAACCTAATCACACAAGGATGAGACAGAGAACAATTAAGATTGGCCCTACCTAAGAGGAACAAAGCACAGCTTTGTCACGGATACCGGTGAAGCGGATCGGCTGGAACAACAGTGACCAGACGTAGTGTGTGCGCTGACTATAGGGACAAAGGAGAGCTGTCGAGTCCTTGCTTGGCTCGAGGCGGACAACCCAGGTGGAACGGACGTCCATGGGAGCGAGCGGAATATACGGACCAGTGAACAAAATGGCAGGCAACCAATGTGGAAACATTGCGACCGAATAGCGCCCATTCCACTTACAGTACAATGTAAACGGTGCTTTGTTTTACACTTAACATATTTGCATCATTTCTCAGACTTTGTTTTCGCTCCTGGCGCGCTATATGACACAGGTGTCTTCTGCAACCGAGGAGTAGACAGACGCAGCTCGCGTATCTGGTGGGCTAATTGATCAGCATGATTTCTGTAGTCGAAAGAAAAGCTGGATAGTACTGGTCATGATACCATCTGGTCAAACGCAGTGTCTAGCCGTAGACTAACCGCAGGTGTCGCGTGGAAGTCGTTTTTCACAGCGTTCCTCAAGCCTAAGAAAACAAGGGCAAGGGTTTTGCTGGCGGTTGAGCCGTGCATAGTGCAGGGAGCCTGGCAGCATCTAGCATTCCCGGCGTATTAACGGTGATACCAACAAAATTCGTCGACAGCTTACTTGCTCTCGGATTCAGAATATGTCGAGGGAATATTGCGCTTCTTTGTCGAACGAGACGTATTTGGTCTAGACACAGACGAACTGCAATGAACGGTAGCCGAAACGTGGTCGGCGTCTGACCGTGGCATGCTCTGCTTCGAAGTCCTTATTTTGCTAGTTTACTCCGAAATAGCGCAATTTTATAGTCACCCCTGTTTGAAGACTCGGAGCGATTGTGGCACTCAATTTTCATCGCTGCAAACACGTTACTGAAGCTACTAATCGTCCAGTGCGGAGGGCTACAAGAAGACAGTGACGGATGAAACGGTCAAGAATGGACGTAAGCGCAGTAACTCGCTGAACAAACGAGTGGAGTGGGAAACATGGTTACAGGGTAGGGTGCACTAAAACAAGAGCGAATATCGTAGAATCAATCGGTAACAACATTGTACGTAATGTATTAGAATCATCTTTTGTGGTCCTACAAGTCCTGCTAACCAATTTACCAATGGTTCAGCCAACACATGGTATCAGTGGGACCAAATAAATGCATGGTTAACTAATTAAGGCCAAGATTAGCGGGGGAGGATAAAACAAGTCCTGAATATCCGGCCCACCGATGTGTCACTATTGAACCGTGGGCCTTCAGGCCAGGTAAAACCGTAGAGTACAATAGAAGAGCGAATTCAAGCATAACAGCTGCTTCTTCGATCCGACTAACACGATCAAATTCATTTCTGGGTTATCTAATGCCTGGGTCCTGCTCATATGCTTGCTCAATATTTATGGAATAACCCAGAATAGTAAGCACCTTGTCAAACGTCAGATATCTATCAAGCTTTTTATGAAACTCACACTCCAATATGCTGGTACGGTTATCGGCCAGTATTTGTTCCATACTCCGGAGTGCCACTTCACAAAAATTCCTGTTGATGTTTATTTGCTACTTTTTCTATTACAGTGTTTTCTTGTGTGTATTGTACGCAGATGCGTTTAACAGTGACGCATTTATGCTAGACGTGTAATCGTTTGTGCAGAATATCGAAAAACTGCGTTGGGTTTTACTATGAGCGTCATAGCCACATCACTCAAAATAGGATAGCGTTGAGCAGGCGCCTATGAGGAGCCTGATGAACGCTCGCTTCACTTGTTCGTTGACTATACGGTTACACCTCCTTGAGTTACTCTGTACCATCGAGCAATATCTTAATAAAGGGCGAGTATGTGATCTGTACACTGAACAAGTAGAATCTCATAGGGTAAAATTTCTGAATAGCAATGCGACGCGCTGTTTCACCCTAGCTGTTGTATAATACACTCGTTGGAAGAATTTAAGGGAACATGAGTAACGAAGTCCTAGATCGCAACCAGTTTGTCAGGGCAAGTGGTTCTCCATCCATGGT